GGCGGTTGTCGCTGACGTCGCCACCGTCTGGGGTAAGCTGTAGGTAACTTTAGAGTGAACTTGTGGGTCTCCTTGTGAGGGTGACTCTGGGGTCACCATCATTCTCAAAGTGATTTCGGCTGAGCGAATTTTGGGATGCAGAAGGAGAAAGCTCAGCTGTCAATTGCATGCTTCCTGAGATACCATCTCCTTGTGGCAGAATCTGAGAACCAACGTCTGGCTTCATGCTTCACATGTGAGATCGGTCGCCATTGGCATGCCTAGGCATGGCTGGAAAGCATGTTTTTCCCTCATGACCTGCCTCTCCTGCTCCCTCCCACCCCCCCGGTGTGGGCTGGACAGCAGGGTGCAGGGGAACACATGTATCACGCTGATTCTTGCCTAGTCACCTTCTGCCCCTGTCACCTTCTCCCTGTCACCTTCTCCCTGTCACCTCCTCCCTGTCACCTTCTCCCTGTCACCTTCTCCCTGTCACCTCCTCCCTGTCACCTTCTCCCTGTCACCTTCTCCCTGTCACCTTCTACCTGTCACCTTCTCCCTGTCCCCTTCTCCCTGTCCCCTTCTCCCTGTCACCTTCTCCCTGTCACCTTCTCCCTGTCACCTTTTGCCCCTGTCCCCTTCTCCCTGTCACCTTCTTCCTGTCACCTTCTGCCCCTGTCACCTTCTCCCTGTCACTGTCTCTCCTTTTCCCCACCTCTCCCCACTCCCCTCTCAGGTTCGGGCTGGACAGCAGGGCGTTGGGCCACACCAAGTTGGCACGATCCTGCACACACTGCAAACTCTTTGCTCAGATTGGGGCACCTGCTGCGTTTCCAGTGCACTCGCGGCATGACTTCCTCACCCAACCGTCGCATTGAGCATTACACGACCTAAACGAAAGCTTCAGATTTTGCGGGTCCTAAGCTTGGTGTCTGCTGTATGGGTCTTTAGACTCGACGAGAGCTGAGTTTTGAAACGCGCACATGTTTCACACTAGCTATGTTTTGCAAGTGCTTATGTAAGCAAAATAAAAGGTTCATGTAACAAGCCTGTAGAAAGAATGGAAGTTGACTAGAAAACACATAACATCAAAGGTGCTCTAAAAGTCTATATGTCTTAACAATCTTGTATTGTGTCGTACTCCTGACACACACACACACACACACACATACACACACACACACACACACACACATACACACACACACATCAGTTGCTCCATCAGTAAGAAATTTGCACATCAGCATTTGATAGTATGATCTCTTTTCGTTTTATTTCGCCTAACTCGTTGCAGCACACACTCACATTGGACTGACGTTTTTCCCATATGGAGGTGCATCATCACCCTCTACAATTATGAGGCAGCTTAGAGATTATTCACACTCTTGTAAGGGCACAGACCCATATAGTGAGTGTCATAAAGGCGAAACACCCATTATTCACAGCTCAGACCACGTCTTATAAATGTGAATCATCCTGTTATCCTGAGGCCTGCTCTCCAATCTTCATAATTTCCGTGTCGAGGCTTGCGACACCGGCGACAACATCCTTCATCTCCTGCACCTGCGCATCCACCTTGACTGCAGCACACAGCACCTCTTTCCCCCCCACTGCCTCGCGAATGGCCTGCAGCTCGTTGGCAACCTGCAGCATGCTTGGGCGGTCTGCAGTGCGCTCTCCAGTGCAGGCGAGGGAGATCTGAGCCACTCGCAGCACAGCTTCAGCAGGGGCGTCCATGGTGGGGTCCATGAGGCTCCCCACGTCATTCTTGGACAGGCACTCCGCCACCTGAGGGGGTTGAGAAGATTGAGGGTGGGAGAAGGTGGAGAGTTTGGAGAGGGTGGAGGGTTTGCAGGGTGTGAAGGGAGTGTTGAAAGGTGGAGCAGGTGGAGGGATTGGGAGGGGACATATATGGTATTCAAGAAGCTGGAAATATTTCCTTTGGAGAATATGCTATTTGAGTCTTTGGAAGTACCGGCAAGTGGTGCTCACCCACAGAGTGATCTGACGTCCCTGTGAGGACCACTAGTGTAAAATGGACGAGGAAAGAAAGGAAGTACCACAACCACACATGTGGTAGTGGCGGAAGGTGGTTTCATGGGTTGAGGTAATTGCATACGCGGTGGTCCCATGGGATAAGCACTTACCCACGGAGTGATCTTCCAGCTCTCTCCAGCAGTTTCCGAGATTGGCTCTCGTCCCGTGAGGACCACCAACATGAGCACTCCAAAGCTGAAAAAAAAGCGGACATGTTCAAAGGCACAGAATGTTCAGGGCACAAGATGGCAGAGGAAGAGAAGAGGGGAGAGGCACATGCTTTTCAGATAAGTTTTATTTCCTGACCGCAACATGTACAGGTCCATATATCACACACACATAAGATTTGGGGCGGGTCTTATTGGGTGCTGACTCCTACTACAATGCATTTCTAGTTTCTCCTTTACTGAATACTATGCACTTCCAGCAAGGACTTTTGTACGCATCACTGCTTCACATGTACACCTCACTGGCCCACCTGCACACATCGCTGGCAGCGGTGCCTTGGAGTAGACTGGATCCCCATAGGGCCTTTGCAATGATCACCTCTACACCTCACTGGCCCACCTGCACACATCGCTGGCAGCGGTGCCTTGGAGTAGACTGGATCCCCATAGGGCCTTTGCAATGATCACCTCTACACCTCACTGGCCCACCTGCACACATCGCTGGCAGCGGTGCCTTGGAGTAGACTGGATCCCCATAGGGCCTTTGCAATGATCACCTCTACACCTCACTGGCCCACCTGTACACATCACTGCCTCACCTGTACACATCGCTGGCTGCAGTGGCCTTGGACGTGATGGAGTAGACCGGATCCACATAGCCCGGTGTGCCCATGATGCGCGTTGTGCCCACGGTTGTGCCCTCCCCCATCCTCAGCAGACCAAAGTCGGCAATCTTCACCTGGTGACGGCATTGTAGCATGAGGAATTAATCACTCAGTGAGAACTCTGGTCGCTTGTGATGCCATCCACAAAAGAGCATGAAATGTAAGTAAAAGGGTTTGTGAGTGGGCTCAGTAAATGGTTGCTGTGAGAAACGATATATGAAGTTGAAAGACATTCCAGCCATAGTTGGTGTAGTGTTGTGCCAATGACCCCTCGTTCAAACTTATATATATATATATATGTATATGTATATATATATATCATCTTCACTAGACAGGATCCACTACGACGACCAAGCTTGCCTGCATGCTGTTGGTGATGAGGACGTTGGCAGGCTTGATGTCGCGATGCACGATGCCAAAGCCGTGGAGGTATTCGAAGCCCCGTGCCAAGCCGATGAGAATGTCCAGCCGCTGCTTCAGAGTCAGAGGGCAGGATGCCTCTGCAAGAAACACGTGGCAGGGGATGAGTGGAAAAGGATGAATGGTAAAGGACGAATGGCACAGCATATGATTGGCACAACATATAATGGCACAGCATATGATTGGCACAGCATATGATTGGCACAGCATGAGTGGCAGAGGATGAATTGCAGAGGATGAATGACAGGGGACGAGTGGCAGCAGACAAGTGGCAGAGGATGTGTAGAGGATGAGTGATAGAGGAAGGGTGGTAGAGGATGTGTGGTAAAGCGTGAGTGGCAGAGCATGAATGACAAAGCACAGGTTGCCTCTGCAAGGATGTGCAGCATAAGTGGCACATCATATAATTGCACGGCATATTTATGACACAACATCTGCGCGGCACAGCACGCCATCTGCGTGGCACAGCAAAAAACACGCTGGAGGAGTATCACGCATACTTGGACCAATCCATCTGTTAAGGTCGCCATTGGGCACATATTCATAGATCAGAACTTGCTCTGGCCGAGTCCTCAAGTCTCCTCCGATCGCAAATCCAAGGAGCTTCACAATGTTGGGATGGTTCTTGTCGGCCATCTGCTGGATCTGATCCACACAGCCAGAGGAAAAGAAACAAATATGATCAGGGATGACAGAACAAATGGGAAGCAGCCAAGGGAATGTCCTAAATTTACCAGCATTGAAGACACGATCTATAATTAGTTGAACAGCAAAAGACATCATGGCAATGTAACATTTCAATAGAGCATATAAATCTTGACGTGGGATTGAAAATGATGTCACTGACACATGCCATCTTATCACGGCTCACCATGGTTCACCATGGCTCACTGACAAAACATACCACTGCAATAAAATTTGCAACCTTCACATGTGCAGCTCACTCACTGACCTCTTTCTGAAAGTCCACGTCGATCAGCTTGGCGCGCTTGACAGCCCACATGGTAATGCCATCGCGGGGAGACACACCCTTGTACACATCGCCAAAGGCACCCGAGCCCAGCTGGTTGTCCTCGGACCAGTCATTGGTGGCCTTGAGGACTTCTGCTAGTGAGAATTCGGTGCAGTGCGAGGATGCCAGGCTGCTCCCCGAGCCTGCTCGTGGGGTCATATGTGAAAGGAGGTGCATGGGTGCAGGGGAAAATGCCTGGGCACGAGTTGAGTGGAGTCGAGTCAGGTCGAGTTCGGCCGGCCTCAGTCGAATCATGTGACGAGTCGAGTCCCATGACTTGGCCCAACATTCTAGGGAATTGATTTGCGGCGTGCCAATCAGTTCACGGGATATTCTACACAGAGCCTCTACGAATCTTTGCAGCTCCAAAACCTGGAAACTGAGATTTAGACCATCTACTGCCTCAACACCTTGTGCCACTTAAGTTCCAGAGCTGTGTGGCCATGCATACAGGCCTGTACGCTGGGGATTGAAGTGAATGCGTGCGCCAAGCCACGCTGTTAGTGGGGAGTCGATCTCACTCATTTCATGGCAAGAGATTTGAGAGCTCGGTTTCGGCTGCTGGATTTTGTCGAGTCGAGCATGATTAGTCTTGCAGACTTGCATGCAGATGTCTAAGTTCATGCAATGGAGAACTTGCTCCTCACCTATCGCCATGGTTGAAACAAGACAGGGTTTGGTTATTCAGAATGAACTCTTCTGGTCGCTTTGTCTCCCTACCTTGTGGTTTCAGCTTGATCTTGTGTGTGAAGTAAAGCAGAGTTGCACCAAGAAGTAGGAGAATGACCATAGCGGCAACAACAATGCCAATGATGGCGCCCAATGACACTGTACCCGCACCTCCTGCTGAGGAAGAGTTGCAGTGGGGATTGCATGAAGGTTATAACTAGAAGAGTTATCAAGAGGGCGTGATAACGTGTGAGCAATAAACGTTCAGCCAAGCAGGCAAGTGCGCAAAAAACGATCAGAAGGGTGATGCTCCGCGGTAAGAGAGCCTAGATTGATCGTAATTTTGCATGATCTCAATGCGAGAAAACTCTACACCCCTCTTATTGTCCAAAGTAGGTGAGGTGCTTTTTAATAATTCGGGCAAGCATTGTGTCATGCCTTGTCCCATGCCTTGTGCCCATGCATTCTGCCATGCCTTGTGCCATGCATTGTGCCCATGCATTGCGCCATGCGTTGTGCCATGGCTTGTGCCATGCATTGTGCAACGCCTTGTCCCATGACTTGTGCCCATGCATTGTGCCATGCGATGTGTGTGTGTCATGTCTTGTGCCATGCATTGTCCCATGCTCTGTGCCATGCCTTGTGCTCATGCCTTGTGCTCATGCCTTGTGCTCATGCCTTGTGCTCATGCCTTGTGTTCATTGTGCTCATGCCTTGTGCCATGCCTTGTGCCATGCCTTGTGCCATGCATTGACATGCCTTGTCCGTGCGTTGCCTTGTCTTTTGCCATGCCTTGCCACGCGTTGCTTGCTGTACTCTGAAATGCCTTCCTCCATGCATCGAGTTTTGACTCTTGAGACCGTACTTTGCTGATGTTTATTTACTTGCCTGCAGATTGGTAGCAAGTCTTGCAGAAGGATTGACATGTGCCACAAAAGGCTGCGTTGGGAGATTGTGTTGTGCCACAGGCGGAGTAGTCAGGTGGGCATACGAGGTTGGTGCCAGAGACGTCACTGCAGTGGAAACGGGAAATGGAAAGGCGGAACTCATGGGCACAACTGCACGTACACTTTTTTGTAAGCTGCGAAAAGCTGCAAGACTCTACTAATCCTGCAAGAGTGCTCTTTATGGCCCACCCATGTCAAGTATATATCACACTGCTTACTTTTTTTTTTACACCTTTGGTACTTGCTGAAGCCTACTCACGGGTTCAGTTCCAGTTAAGTATCTTCTCAAACATACTTAGAAGTTTATTCCAGATTGGTACTTGCTCAAGCATACTCACAAGTTCGGTTCGGTTCTGGCACTTTCTCAAGCCCACTTGCTCAGCCTATTACAAGATCAGTTTGGCTTTTATACTTGCTCAAGCCTCTTACAAGGTTTGTTCGGGTTTCATACTTGCTCAAGCCTACTTACAAGTACTTCAATAAAGTGAAGCCTCCAATCTCAGCTGGAATCTCACCGCTGAGATCATTATCAGAAAGGTTTCTGGTCACAAGGGGTGGATGAAAAGTACAGGAGAAATCTCAGTTAGCCTAGCCTCCTGCACACAGCAACGCAGCGCCGTGCATCCATCTACATGAAGCAACGCAACAACACATGATTGAACCATGTATGGCGGGTTGGTCCAACGGGACTGGGAAACAACTACTGAGAGAAGATGCATGGTGCTGGCAAACCACTGAACTGGTCACAGGTCGTCCCAGAATGCTTAGGAACGGCAACTGGGGTGTGGAGGGGCCACAAAGCGCTAATGGAAGTGAGTTGATAGATCTAGATCTGTTTGTAGTCATTAGCTGATCACGCTCTCAGAATTCTTTGAAACAGACTGTGGAGGGCCAAACAACAACGTACAGATAGTTGAGGCGATCAAGCAATTCAAAGTCACTGAATATGTTGCCACTGAGGGAATTGGATGAGAGATCCCTGTGCATTGTGTGTTGTGGGAATTGGATGAGAAAAAGAAGAGATGAGTATAGCAGGCATGGCGGCCCACGGGGGTTCGATGGGTCGAGATCCCATCAGGTGGAGAGCACTGTTGGGAGCACGGAGGAGAACAAGCAGCCTTCGCTGGAAGCAGGGAGGGTGGGGGGTGGAGGGGAATGTAAGTAGTTGGGGAAACGTAGTTTAGGTTGTGGCATGAGGGAACGCAAGGAACTGGGATGGTCTTTGAAAGAAGAATGGAAAAGGGCACATGGATGGGCGCACAGCACACGAGCTATGCGAGTGGGAAATGAAGAGCAAAATGATGTGGGAGAAGACAGAATTCCACTTCACAAACTCCTGCAAGTCTGCGAGCTTTCAAATGCAGTGCACCGAAACTGTGGGAGCGTTTTGAATTAGAGGCAAACGAACTACTCCATAGTATATGACCGCAATCCATCAGCATTGGTTCCACCAACCAACTTGAAGTAAATTGGAATAGCTAGGTCCGTCAAGGGAGTGGTCATGAGCCTATTGTAAATACATGGCTATCCTAGCTCATGACGAGCCTACTTGGCTCGGACGAGCCAAGCCAACCTGGCAAGAATCTAGTTCTGTGACGGCCAAAGGTCGGCCATTGCTCAACCCGAAAGCCTCAGGCCAGCCCGACCAACAATGCAGGCTGGACAAGACCAGCATGCGGCACTAGTTTTGCTCATCCCTAGCCTAGGAGTGGAGGACAGGAGAAGGAGATGCAGGACATTCAGCCTGGATTGGCTGTCGAGATGCTTCATACAGATAAGTGAGCCAAGAAAGCATGGAGATGCCATTGGGAATCGAACCCGCCAAGATGTTGTTCGACAGAGACCTGTGTGTGTGGGTTGGGGTAGAAGTGAGGAGATGAGATTAGAGGCACACAAGTTCAACCTAATTGGCGGATGAGGAGAGCATGGTGAGAGACAGGCATGAGTAACATTTGAATCGAACTTGAGATTGAGTTAATTCACGTTACTCGAATTGACCAAACTTTTTAAATAACACAGTCCAGAGTGCATCGAATGGCATCAAACATGGGCCTGGGAACAAGGTGCAAAATAAGAAGAGTTTTTTAGTCAAATTGTGACTAGGGATGAGCAAGGGGCGAACACGAACATGTTCGCGTTCGCCCCAGCTCGAACACTGCCGTTCGGCGAACCGAATTCGCCTGTAGGGCGAACATCTTGCATGCTAAGGCGAACACGAACGTGTTCGCCCCTGGGCATCCTTTGTTATGCTCAAAATACGCAACGGCGGGCAGGGGAATTGCGGGAAACTGGGGGAAAATATCTAGGCTGGATCAGCATTTTGCGAGATTTAGTTACGGATCCATAGTTTTTTTTATCCAGCTCGCCACCTGGATTTCCCCCCACGTAAGGCGAAATGCTCTCCCCGTTCTATATCTACGAAATTTGCAATTGCTCGCCAACCCCCCACAACCCCCCAACTCACGAAATATGCAAACGCTATTCCTGTCAATCCCATGCATACGAAATTTGCGAATGCTTACCCCCAACCCTCAACTTACGAACTTCTGCGATATCCCTGTCTAATCTTTTCCCGAAAACCTAAATCTCGCATACCCAAGTCTATACAGACTAACCTAAGGTAACTACTTAATTACGCTAAGTCCTAATGAGGTGATAACGGCGTGATGTGTGGGGGGCGTGGTAGTAATGGCTGCTGCTGAATAGCGCGACTAAGTTTGAGCTCAAATTTGAGCTCAAACAGAATGTCCCGCAACGTAAATTGTAGCCCGCCGGGACAGTCGCGTCGAACACATTCGTGTTCGTTTTTGCCCCGAAACGAACACGAACGCGTTCATGTTCGACGCGGCTCGGCAGCAGTAGCGGGGCGATCACCGAACGTGTTCGGGCGAACACCGAACACGTTCGCTCCGAACATTTTTAGCCAAAAAAAAATCCTGTTCGGTTCGCCTCGAACGTGTTCGTTTCCATGCTCATCCCTAATTGTGACCGTAAAATTGTTGAGTGCAATATGCGTTTTGCACGTCAACCTACCGCCTATTCGCCGTCGGTGAAGGTAAATGAAGTTTTCTGTTTGAAGGTAATTTGTTATGTGTGAGGTGCGCATTTCTGAGCTGTACGTTTGGGCGTTTACGGTTCGTGAATCGCCTCGACTATTCATGAGTTATGAGCGTTTTCGTGAAGGGTTGCATTTGTGAGTGTTCATGAGTTTCCATAAGTGAAGGTGAGTGTTCGTGTCATTTTGTAAGTTCCGAGATTTTGTGTGCGATCGTGTTATTTCATGTGTTCTGCGAGTCACGGGTTTTCGTGAAAGTGTTGTGGATGTTCATGAGTTTGTTTGTGAAGCGTTCGTGTGAGTTCATGGTTTGTAGGTGAATTTTAATAGTTGCGTTTTCAGTTGTTTTGATGAGTTCGTTTGTAATTTCGTTTTTTCGTTTATGATGTTTTAGGGGTTTCTCCCTATCGAGGTGGTCAAGGCTCGAAGCCATGAGCCCGAGCACTGTTGCGCTTTAGGCGCAATCATGGGGAGTGTGCCAGTCAAGGCACACGCGCGGCCTGAGGCCGCAAAAGAATTCCTCGCCACACGCGCGAGTGTGGCAGTGAGGTGGCGCGTGGGAAAGGACGAGGGCATGTGGGTCAACAATTGAATTGTGGGACCCTCGAGCTGTTTGTCCTCATTAGCCGGGAGGAATTTCGCTACGGGGTGTTTCGCGAAGCGCGCGATTTACATTCGAAGCTGGTGCGAATTGTGCGGGAGTGATTTCGGTGACTTAGTAATTTCATCGCGTAACTGCGCCATTTCTTCAGGAGATTCCGTAAGCTGTCACGAGTGGTCGCCACCGAGCGTCCACGAGGCTTCGCGGACAAGTATGGCCTGCATAAACGTTCGTGGGCGAGTATGTCCCACTGGTTCCGCATAGAGAAAGTTGGCAATTCAAAATATGGTTTTAGTTGTCACTTTGGTGGGCTGGTAGCTTTCGCTTTTGGTGGGTTAATATAAACTTGTGCTTGCGTTTGTTTGTGAACAATCTTTTGTGACTGAATATTACTCTTACAACGTATTGACGTGAAGAGTTTAATATGCACATGAGCCAATCGATCGATGTGACGCTGTGCGAATAACTGTAGGAATACTCTAGTGCTCTCGATCGAACTTACACTTGGTGGAACTCTCTACAAACATGGACCCTTGGGTAGGGGCTGGCTTGCCTAGCACCCAAAGACCCTCAGAGGTGACCTCGTGGAGTCCATCTTTTGTGATTTAATCGAAGGGCATAGAGCCTTCTAGATCTCACAGTTTGTAACAAAAATATGGCATCATAATAAACAACCGTATAAAACATAAATAATTTTTTATTTGCGTGAAAAAACGGCATCTTTTTTCCAATACAGAAAAAAAACCTGCAAGAAAAGGATAAAGTGGCGAGTTTTTTGCTAAGCATTTTGCCAAAAAAAAAAAAAAATTGCAAATTGGCCCTCTCGGCAGGTCAGAATTCTACTCAGACAAGAGCATCAGGTTGGCCCGTCCCTAGTGGGTACCGGTCGGATCGAGTCAGGTCAGTACCCCAGGGAAGACGTCCCGGTCCGTGCTCTTCGCGTTTACGACATTCTAACTGTGGAAGCGTTCTCAATCAAAGCCAGACAAACTACTTCATGTCCACGGTATTTGACCGCAATCCATCACCATTGATTCAGCGCCACCAACCAGCCTGAAGTTTTACAGAATAGGTAGGTCCGTCTAGGGAGTGATTGGGAGGTTTCGCAGGTTAATGGAAGTGGCCAACGTGAGCCTCTTTTAGAATCATGGCCACCCTAGGCTCGAGATGAGCCTACTGGGCTCGTCACCTGTCGGACAAGCCACAAGCCAACCTGGCAAGAATTCAGGTCTGTGACGGCCAGAGGTTGGCCATTGCTCAACCCGAAAGCCTCAGGCCAGGCCGACCAACAATGCAGGCTGGACAAGACCAGCATCCGGCACTAGTTTCGCCCATCCCTAGCCTAGGAGTGGAGGACAGGAGAAGGAGATGCAGGACATTCAGCCTGGATTGGCTGCCGATTGTGTCTGAAAGGTTCTAAATTTGATGTGACTGTTGGTCATGTTCGTGCTTATCGACAGGCTTAAACAGGGTGCTTCATACAGAGAAGTGAGTTGAGCAAGCATGGAGATGCCATCAGGAATGGGACCCGTCAAATTGTTGTTTGAAAGAGACCTGCATGTGCGTGGTGTGGGTTGGGGTAGAAGTGAAGAGATGAGATGAGAGGGCACGGACTGAGTGAGGGACAGCAAGAACACAAGTCAACTCAATTGGGAAATGAGGAGAGCACGGCGGGAGACAGGCATGAGTAAAATCGAACCGCACTTGAATCAATTCAAGTTCGGTTCGGGTTGACCAAATTGATTCAGATAACACATTTCGGAGTGCATCGAATGGCGTCTTAGATGGGCCTGGAATCAAGGTGTATTTGTTTGTTCTAGTAAATATTGACCGTAAAATACGGTATCATAAAAAACAACCGTAAAATGAATAAAAAACGTAATCAAATTTGGGTAAAATAAAAACTTTTACCTTTGTTTTGGGTATTTGATATGTACAACGAACAGAGCAAGCATACATAAACAATAGCAGTCGTGACTGTGCGTGAGGGGGGCCACATGGCCACCCCAATTGCGGAATCCAAGGGGGTGATTTATCCTCGGGAGAGCCAGATAGAGGTGAATGCATTTGTCCACGTCCATGACTTGCTGTTCTTGTCCCTGTTCCGAAACAGTAACCTATTCTCTCCTTCCATCGTGCGGCGAAATTTCTTCTCCTGCCTCGTGCCCTGACGCTTTCTCCATTGAGTGTCACTCGTCCTCTGTAGATCCTTGCATGCAAGCGAAAAGCAGTTTCAATCCGACGGAGCACCTTCCTCGCCCGAGAATTCGTGGTAGGCTAATTGGTTATGAAGGTGGAATAAAAGGGAAAGGCATGGGGATGGTGGCTAGGAGGGGCATGGAGAGATTGACTGCACACCGCAAAAACCAGCAAAGCACTGCTACTCTTTCAAGAGTGTTCTATTTGGTCCAACCATGTGATCAGAACAGCCTATCTCACACTGCTTACAAGTTCGTTTCGGGTTTGGGACATGAACAAGCGTACTTACAAGCACTCCAATGCAGTTTGTTGTTCAATACTAGCTGGAATGTACCCACTCAGGTTATTAGCAGCGTAATTTCTGGACACAGGGGAGGAAAGCATGGTTGTAAGCCCTGTTAGCCTCTTTGAGGAGGAACGCAGTGCCGTGCGTGCATCAACCGATACACATGACAGCGTGCACCCATCTGTGCAGCCAGACGGATTCAGATGGATGAATGCATTCAGATGGAGGAGCCCGGCAATCCAAAGGCATGAAAACATCTGGCCAGAATATAGATGAAGACATCATAGAAATACAGATGGCAGGATGGTACAACAACATTGAAAAATAAATCAAGAGGCAACGTATAGAGAAGATGCACCGCTTTGAAATAGCAACTGGGGTGACAAGCGTGTGTTGCGGACTGAGTTGCGGCACTGGGAAAATAACAGGTTGGTACAACAGGAATGGGAAATAACTCAAGCGCCACACACATATTATGGATCTGAGAGCGCGGTGCAGGCTTGGCACATGAGCGCGCGGTGTAGGCTTGGCACATGAGCGTGCAGTGCAGGCTTGGCACATGAGCGCGCAGTGCAGGCTTGGCACATGAGCGCGCAGTGCAGGCTTGGCACATGAGCGCGCGGTGCAGGCTGAGCGATGTGCAGGCCTGGCACATGAGAGCACGGTGCAGCATTGGCTTTGTACATAACGGATGGGTCTAGAGAGATTCTTACAGATAGGCGATGCGATTACGGGAAACAAAGTCGACGACTATGGGGCCAATGAGGGAATTGGATGAGAAATTTCTGTGCATTGTGTGTTATGGGTTGGGAGTAGATGAAGAGATGAGAATAGCGAGCATGGCGGCCCACGGGGGTGTGCTGAGTCGGGAGCACGGAGGAGAACGAGCGGCATTCACTAGAAGCAGGGAGGGTGGAGGGGGGTGGAGAGGGATGTAAGAAGCTGGAAGGAATTCGAGCCAGGGGCACTCGTAAGCAACTCATACCTGTCGTAAGTTTGCATCCCTCACTGCTAGGCAAGGCATGAGAAAATGGCAAACACAGACAGGTTCGGCAATCTTAACATGTTTTTGTTTTACCGAACTAGAGATGAGCATTTGCCGGCCCGACCCGACCCGTGGTTTAGCCCGGGTTGGGGCAGTGGTTTCATTTGCCTGCCCCGTATGGGCCGACCTGACCCGACACGAGAAAAAACCCGACCCGAGCATGGAACTCGGGTCGGGCTTCGGGTCAAGCTTGACCCGACCCGAATTCGGGTCAAGACCAGGGGAATCGTGTCGGGCTTTTGACCCGACCCGATTTCGACACAGAGGGCACGAAACCCTAGTTCAAATTGTGATCGAGGGATTTTTTATCCCCTCGACATCAGAACCTACCCACGCTCTCAATCTTGCCTAACGGGAGCAAGCAAGTCATTTAAGTTTAGAAACAACTTAGTTAGGGCCCATTCAAACCTCATTGTCTGACATCTATAACTAGTTTACTATCGTATCCTGCTGTTCACGGAAACTCGCAATGCAGGAATCGCGTTTTACACCCCTGCTCCCACTAAAGGGCGGGTCAGACTGGCCTGACCCGACCCGACCTGTGACCCTGTCCAAGCTGACCCGAGTGTGTAGGCCCGGGTCGGGCCAGAACATTCAGGGACCTGGCCCGAGCCTGGCCTGACCCGACCCGACCCGGGAACCTGTGTAGCCCGGCCAGGTCGGGTCGGGCCATTTGCTCATCTCTATCCCGAACACTTCCAGAAAGGGAGGTGTTCGGGTTTGCCTTTAACCGGCGAACAACTTAATGTTCGGCCGGACACAAACATTTGGGTCAAACATGTTCGTGTTTGCCATATCAGCAGCCTTCGTTATAGTGACATAATACTGGGTGGTGGATTTTGGCGTCCAGGGTGGTTATACCTGGTGGACATTTGGGAGTGACGGAAATGAAACAACAAACAAAACAACGTGTTACACAAGGTATGCTTAGTACTGGTGCTTGTCGTCTAGGCTGGAGGAGGGGAAACATTCAGAATTCGAGCTAAAAAAATGAGCTCCACTAGTGTGTCTTGTCGAATTAAAAAAAAAGGTTCCGGGAGTTTTCCAACGAACACATATGTTTTCGTCAGAAAGCGTTGTCGACCACGAACATGTTCGCCGTTCGCCGTGGCTCTCCTAGGCGGGACAAACCGAACACGAATATGTTCACCCCAAACATGTTGGACGATCCGAATAGGCGTTCACCATTGTGCTCATGTCTACGATTTCAACCTTGATTTTGAATTTCGAAGCCGAAACAAGCCCTCCTGTTTACCACTGAACCCCATCCGATCTCAGTCCCGACCAACTCAATATCGAGTGGAAGAGTTGGCTTTTCTCGTATGATGGCTTTGAGGAGTCAAGCATTTTGACATTATGTCAAAACGCTCGACCTAAAGCGCTTTGACACCCCTTGGCCGGGGAGATTGGCGCCGGTTTGTTGATCTAGCGGGCAGGTAAAAAAAAGCCTGGACATGCAAGAAAACCCGGGGTTCTAAGACTGTTGAGGAGGGGAACGGGAGTGTATGTATGGGTTTTGGGCAGGAGAGAAGGATTTCATTTCACCATGAGTTATCTTCATCAAACATGCATACATTTTTTTATATATAATATCGTAGTGAAATGCGTGGAGCGGACCCTATGGTAGTTAAGGCAGGACATGTTTGTGCTTTGTATTGGACTTTCTCTAAGGTAAAAAACACTTAGGCTGCTAGAAAAATATCGTCCCTACATCAACGTTTAAAGTCTCGACCTTACGTCAGCGTCAAGTAGGCATGAGCAGTCGGCCCGACCCGACTTGGCCGGGCCAAGCAGGTTTCTGGGTCGGGACGAATCGAGTCAACCCCGGGCCAGAATGTTGAAGACACTGATTTGACTGACCCGGGGGGGGGTACAGGGCGGGGTTTTACCTGACCCGACCTCGAGTCGGGCCGACACGAGGTCGGGCCAGGTTACATAAAACCAGTTGCTGTTCGGTTTGAGGAAAACGGGTTCATGTTAATTTTTATTGGCCGTACTGGTTTGAGTCGCACACCCGGTTCCGCAATTTTGTCGTTCTCGTCGAACCAAGGCCTGGGAGGAGGGGGAAAGGCAGGAAGAGGAGCTGTGGGGGGTATCCAGCCGGGCTTGGCTGACAATTGCAAGGTCATATACGTGTTGATCTGATTACCCAGAGCTTCTGACGCTTGCTTTCTTGCATGCGTCAATTATCTAGGTTATGCGCTATGCATTTATTAGAGCTGATGAGGTCTTTGCTAATGTTCGTGCTTCTCATCACGACGAGCTCCTTCTTACAAATAAGTGAGCTTAGAAAGCTCGGAGATGCCGTTGGGAATGGAGCCCGTCAAATTGTTGCTTGCAAGACTCCTGTGTGTATGTGGTGTGGGTCGGGGCGGAAGAAGTGAGGAGATGAGAATAGGGGGCATGGATTGAGGGATAGCAAGCACACATGGTCGAATCAATTGGGGGACGAGACGAGCATGGGGGGAGGTGGGCATGAGTAATAACCGAATCGCAGTTTAGTTCATATTCTAGTCGAGTGGCCAAACCGGTTCAAAGAACACACTCTGAAATGCACCGAATTGCGTTGAACGTGGGTCTAGGATAGGGATGAGCACGGGTCGAGCCCTGGTTAGCACGGGTCAACATGGGTTGGCCCAGGTCAGGCCGGCACAGTGTGAGTGTCGGCCTGCGGTCCAGAGAAATGTGACGGATGGAGGATGGCGAGAATTAGGCGTGAGCCGACCCAATTTGGCCAGGCCAGGCGCGTTTCCGTCCCGGATCGGGTCGGGTCAGGCAGGGGCAAGGTTTAGAATCCCTGACCCGACCCGGGGATACACAGCCGGGTCTTACCTGACCCGACTTTGGGTCAGCTTGACCAGACCACGCTTTCGCCCGTGATCCGTGCAGGTCGGCACTTTCGTTCACCGAAATCAGGTCGGGTCTATACACGACGCGGTTACCCTGCGTGTGACCCGATACCGGGTCGGGTCGGATAGTGGTATAGGAACTGGTTCTGTTGGACCTTACAGCGTCGCTTGGACCTTAGCTTACACAAGTTGGGTGGCCGCCGTTGGCTTGTGTGCCGGTGGTAAACGAGCTGATCAGACTCAAAGAGCCGGGGGGGCTTGTCAAAGACCAGAGTGATGCAAGCTTCAAACGTCATTTCCACCAGCTGGTACTCAACTACTACTTACCATACAAATTCTTTTGGTATGGCGGCTTCATGTCTGTTAAAGTTGGTGTTGCAAAAACCCAACCCTTTAGTGTTTCCTGAGGGGTGAGAATGTGATTCCTTTGCAAACATAATACTCTAGTAACTGACTTCAATCAACATTGAGATAGGCAGGTCCGTCCATCAACATGTCAGCGCCAACCACATTACATATGCAGGTCCGTCCAGGGACCGATGAGAAGAATTTAGGGGTTATTTGATGTGGCTGTCCATGATTCCATTGAAGCAGCATACATTTGACACTGGGGTTCCGGTTCTTACAGTGTGCCTCACGATTTCGGCCCCACCATGTACCATTTATAAAATTTAGGAACTCGCCCTGCCAAATGTATACTGCTGCTTTAGAACCCATCGCCACCCTAGCTAGCTCATGACGAACCGCCAGGCTTAAGATGAGCCTCCCCAGATCGTCACCCATCTGACAAGCCTCGATCCGACCTAGCCATAGTCCTGCATCGTGGCAAACCGGCCAATGGCCTGCACTTTAGACAGTGGTTGGAGCTGGCTCGTCACAAGCCGGGCAGTGGAAGGTCATCGCTCACGTCTACCCAAGGGAGCCGGCCCGGCCAGCCTAAAAGCAGGCAGGGCCAAGCTAGCATGCGGCCCTAATCTTGCTCATCCCTAGCCATTCACTTTCCTAATACCCTATCCTTGTTTTTCTTTCTTGCGTGTGACATCGGGATAACGTAACTTTGAGTTTTAGAATCTATGTTATCTTTGATCGTGTCCGTGCTCATCATTAGGTATATATGAGGTGCTTCATACAGAAAAGAAAGCTGATCAAGCTTGGATATGCTGTCGGGGATGGGGCCCGTCAAACGGTTCATTGCAAAAGACCTGCGTGTGTGGTGTGGGTTGGGGTGCAACCACCGAGGAGATGAGAATAGTGGGCATAGACCGAGGGACAACAAGTACAAACGGTCAAGCCAATTTGGGGATGAGATGATCTTTGTGGGTGGCAGGCACGAAAAAGAATTCGATTTCAGTTCGGTCTGAGGCAAACAGTTCGTGCCGACTCCAATTGGCCGAACTGGTTCAAGTCGCACACATGGGTTCGACGAGTTTGTGGTTCTCCTCGAACCTGGGCCGGGAAGAGGGGTTGCAGGGTATTCAGCCTCTTGGCTGCCAATTGCATGGCCATATATGTTTGAATGACCCAAAACTCCTTAATATGAGACTTCGAGACTTTCTTGCTTGCGTGTGACATCTGTCTAGGCTATGAGACTTTGGTCATGTTCGTGATTATCGCCAGGCTTGAACGAGGTGCTTCATACAGATTATCGACAAAAGAAATCTTGGAGATCTGGTTAGGAATGGAGCCCGTGAAGTTGTTGTGTGAAAGAGACCTGTGTGTGCGTCGTGTGCGTTGGGGCGGAAGAAGTGAGGAGACATAAGGGGCATGGACATAAGAATAGTGGGCATGGATGAGAAAAAAGGGCATGGATGGATGGAGGGACAGCAAGCACACACTTGTTGACCCGACTGGGGGATGAGACGAGCATGGAGAGAGGCAGGCATGAGTAAAAGGTGAATCGCAGTTTGGTTTGAGGTGAATGAGTTCATGTTCAGCTTTAGAAGTTCATGAGTTCGGTTTAAGTTTGTGGTTCTCATCAAACCTGGGCCGTGGAGGGAAACGGTCAGCAAGAGGAGTTGTGGGGTATTCAGCCTGGCTTGGCTGCCACGTTGCCATACACAATTCATTCCCCAAAAGTCCTGGTTTTCTTGCTTGCGTGTGACATATAGGTTATGCGGCTATGGATTTATTTTTGGGGGTTCATGTGATTTTAGTCTCCCTACATTTTTTTGTTGTCCGTCCATCTCTTAGTCTCCCTCTGCCTCCAGCCTGCCCTCTCTTGTCCCACCCTCTGTACTGACAAAACTCTCTTCTTCCACACCTTCCCAACCTCATGTGGTCGTCTGTCCTAAACTGAACATGGCCGAGGTTTGATTGCGCCTTCACCCCAGCCAGCTCATTTTCTGTGTACTCGCACCTAACTAACGTATCTTTTAACCCTTTGCCGTCCATTTCCCCCCCTAAGCGCTACAGCTTAACATGTTATTCAAAGCCAAGTCCAATGCATCGTCTAAATATCATCATCTACATCTCCTAGGCGTGTAGCAAGTGTTAGAACTGAGCTTGAAGTGATAGCGCAAGGCTCTTTAATTACACCGGAAATGAGCTGGGAATGGATGGAGAGGGAATTGGAGGCAATCATAGGGAGATCGGCTGCAATCTTCAATTGGTGGGTTGGGGATTGCATATGATCACATTTGGGTTGGGTTGGGATGTGGGTGTGTACATCCAGCCCAACCCAAAGTGGAAACTACACTATGCTATGATATAAAAAGTACAATTATTGAGATTGAAGGCTAACACTAACAGCAAGACCTGTCGCACGTCCGTCCTTATCCAGTCGCTCGCTTTCTCTTGCTACTCTCCTGTCCTTCCTATCTCCCCACGGGCCCTTCCTACCCGATCGTGGGTCCATGTTGTCCTAATGTCTCCCTTCGTCTGACCAGGCAGCAGTATTCCCCAGCAGCTCCCATCGATCCTCCTCTTCGTCATCCCACGGCTCTGGCGGTCGCCAAGTTCCCATCACCATACGCCTCCTCCTCTCAGGTTCCTGTCGTGGTTTCCGGTGAGCGATACGCCCCCGCTGGTGTATGACTCCGCTTGCCTCCGTCAGGACGTCCTTTTGGCGATCGAGGAGCTCTTGCGCCTCCACTCCGCCTTGCCGCCTCCCCTTGCATATTATCAGACACATGATCCATTTCCGCCCCTTCATCAGGCTCCTCAAGCTCTTCTCCGTGTTGGCACTGCAGAACTTCATCATCCGCGTCTTCAGCTTGCTTTTCCCCACCCCGCGCAGTTGGGGTATCTTCATCTTCTTCCTCACTGTCAGCCTCGCTTGGTGACTTCGGAAAGTTCAGCTCGTCAGCAACATCCCGACGCCTTCCACCCGCTCCTTGCTGGCTGCCTGCCAGTTTCCAAGGGTCGCTGCAGGACGGGTGAGGCCTGGGCTCCGTCCTTGCATGCGGATCGAGCTCACCTCCTTCGCGACGTCCGCCGACGGGTGTACGGATCCGCGCGGTACACCGCCGTCCTTGGCGAATGTGCAGGCGACCTCCCGCGCTCCTGTGAGAGAATCCGTTGCGGCAGCGCAGATTCACGCCGCGTGTACGTTTGCTGCCACCGCAACTCGTGGCGGTCTTTCTCTCGTTTGGGAGAGATCCAGGCGCCCACATTCTGGCTACTCCGAGTGGCTTAGTCACATAGCTGTCGTAGCTTACATTGCTAACTTAAATCCACTGTAGTCAGTAAACAAACGAGAGAACAAATTACTAGATGTTCTGGCTGACTATTTGACCTCTCTTTCCGAGCCGCCACCAATTCTGTGTCTCACCTTTGGAGTTGAGCCGTGCAGTACTAGGTTGGTCCTCCAGATTACCCCATCTTCAAGGTCCCTTGACTTCTTCAATTAAGCGCTCCACAGTTCTCCTAGTCAACAACTTTGCGTCACTCTCTGGGTAACCCAACTACTTCTACAATGGTTGAAATAACATTTCTGCACCTTACTAGCTCACGACAGAGATGTATTAGAACCACTCCTGTACACAAGACGCGCACCCGGCCTTGTATTAGACGCTCAGGTGACGTTGACCCGGGCAAGTAAATAAAAACCATCGGCAGGTAAAAAAACCGTCTAAGTGGGGGGGAGAGGTGGTTTCTGGACATTGCAACCACATTAATCCATAATTACTTAGATTTACATCAGGATCCCACAAACATAGTTAAACCTAGATTTAAGGTTTGTGAAAAGATTATTGGGTCGACTAGGAAAGAAAACTCTAAATGTTGACCTGATTCTATTTCATTCTCAGGTTCGGGTAGGGGATGCAATGCGGTAATGTGCGTTGGCTGGTGGAAATATGGTTTAGTAGCGATTTTGCTTGGTGAAATAGCAAAATCGCTCCCATTTGTTTGAGATTTTGCTTGGCAACAACACACTCATTGGGGTACGATGTCAATATTGACATTCCCGTCGAATTCACGAATGTCAATTTCGTGGGTCAATTTTTTCTTTCCGGGCTGCCCAAAAGAATTTCGGCGAAGAGTCCTGCGTCTTCGCATGCGTCCTGCATCCGGGGTTCCCCTCCTGAGCTTCTTTTCAATCACAAGATGTGTGTGCGTAACAAGCAGCACCGATTCCGTTGCGTAAAGAACCAGCCAACAATTTCCAAAAAATGTCGAACACGCGAAATTGGCGAATGATGAGTTTCTGCTTCAACATTTGCGAAAACAAAATGGGTGGGGACAAGTTTCAATCCGGCAACGTTTTCCAATGACTCTAAAATCCATTCGACAGATCTGGCGATTTCGTTTAGTTGGGACAAATCTCTCATCTTTCTTGCGACATATCTCTCATATTTCTTGCCAGTATTTACCAGCCGGGCATGTTCTAGACAACATAGAAATCACAAATTAAAACACAATCGTACATGAAGTTCTTCGAAACGGATTTTGAGTCACTTCCGACTCGCGGTTCTCCTTACTTGCCACGAGTCAGACCCAGCTCGCACTGTTTTTCCGAGTCACGAGTCGGGCTGAGTCAATTTTTCTACTCGGCCCTGACTCATCTCAGGTAAGGGCTGACTCGACTCGACTCAAGCACATGGTCATGACTGTCTAGAGTTTGATGTAGTTTAGTATCTTGGATTTTGTTGCTAATGAAAGAATTTCAGGAAAATCCATGTAAATTGTGGTAATATCATACAACCTTTGCGAAATTTAATGTGTGAAATCCTTACAAAAAATTTAGTCCGCTGAGAAACACGATGCTGTCAGGAATGGAGCCATTCAATGCGTTCTTTCTGACAGATCTGCGTGGGGAGGGGTGAGTCATAGGGAGTGAAGAGATGAGAAAAGTGGGCATGGCTGGAGAGAGGTCAAGCACGCACACACGACACAATGGGAGATGGGACGCAAACTGCAATTTGACGCAGCTCTAGCCGGTAGACATGATCAGGTCAGAAAAACAAACGCCGGTTTAGTTCAATCGGACCAAGTAGACCTGAGCAAACTGGCGAACACCTGTTCAGTTTGCTTCGAACACGTTCAGAAATAATATGGCACGTAAAAAAAAATAGACATAAAAAATACAAACACACACACACACACACACATGAAAAAAAAAAAAACCGACACATGTTTACGTCGATTTGCAACATTGTGTGTCATGTCAGCCGCACAAAAAAACCCCGTGCTGTGAAATTAAAGGCAACCCTTCACCATTTCACTGTACTCATTGAGGTTGAAGGTTAGATTGATGTGTTGACAATTCGGTAAATTTCACCATCATTGCTCAATTTCACCATCATTGGGTAAATTGGCAGGTGGCACCGTACTGAGGTATCACCTGAAGACAACAAGCACCACCTCACCATCCTGAAGCTTGTGAGCACCAAACCATCATCAATGGGTTGGGGGTGTAGGAAATGCCCTAGCACCGGTACTCCCTCCAACACACAAGAAGGGCAGTGGAAGGTGGGATATGCAAAAGGTTTTCTTGCTTGCTCAGTAAAACAATGGCAAAGGCAGAGACAATTTAAAAAAAAAAAAAAAAAAACAGCTCTATCCTAGCAACCACCAACTTGAAGCAGCTTACAGTTCGTTCAGATTGGTGAGCTTTCCAATTGCGGCTGGAATGGGTCCGGTGAGCTGATTATTTGTCACATTACTGGCCACAGGGGATGGAAACCGGACATAAAGACTGCCCAACTCATTGACAACTCATCTCAATGGAGAAAGGGCATGACCATGACTTTGTTGATCACTTTCTTGATCTTATGAGGAACATTTACGACATGGATACAAGAGAAAACTGAACGAGTGTTTAGTCCCACACACAGGAAATTCGGGAGTGGCAACTCCATGACTATGCATATTGTAGTGATTGGATAGATGGAAGGTGTGAGCACAGTGTTTAGAGATGTTGATACTACAGTGTTTAACTGGTCCGATCCGAGGGCTGATGCACGCAGGCTTTGAAACTTGGGCGAAAAGAGCATGAAGGACACAGCAACGATGGACGGATACAGTCGGTGCTCTGAACACTTTTCATACAGATGCAACACACTCTCTCCCTGTAAATCCACAATTGCGATACCAGCATATCTCACACTGCTTACAAGATCTTTAATGAAACGAGGCTTAGAATTTCAGCTGGAATAGACCCTTTGAGCCCACAATTAGACATGGCCCTGGGGAAGGGGTTGTATAAAACAGTGAAGAAGGCGATGTTAATGCCGTGGACATGGAGTTACGCCTGAGCAAACGGGCGAACACCTGTTTGGTTCGTTCGAGACGAGCCGGACAGGTGATTTTGTTTTGCAAAAAAAATGTTTGTGGATGTTCGTGCTCGGTTCGTCGCGGCTAGCCGAGCCGCGAAGAACCGAACAATGTTCGTTTTCATCTAGCCTCTCCGACGAACAGAAATGTGTTCGTCGAAAAGATCCCTTTCCGACACTTTTTTAGGTCGTCACTGAACACTAGCTGAGCTCAATTTTTAGCTCGTTTTTAGCTAACACATCCCCAATAGCCTAGTCTAGAAGCACCTGCAGCGTTGCTACCTTACACACTATTTACATATGTTGGTGCAGACGATTTTCCATAGTCTATGTTAGTTTTGGGTAGTCGACAATAGGTTTACCAGCGCTGGCCCTTAGAAGCCTCCATGGCACTGTTATACCATAAACATTGGCAGAAATTCAGACTCCGCGGCCAAGTCCACGGTCATAGGCGGGTTCAGCCCGCGGGTTAATTTATCGAACTACTGTAGAAGGGTTTAGGGGTTTAAGGGAATGCCTAGTTCACCAGCAGCAGCAGGAGGAGGGTTGGGTGGTAACAGCAGAGCTTCCTTGCTATTTTGGGGAAAAAAAAATGTTAAAGGCAATGAAGCATATCACGTTTATCCTTTTCCTTATGAACCACGCGTTTTCTGTGTTGCACTTCTCTTGTCGTCATTTATTGGAATGGCCATTCACCCTCTAGCCATATCGCTATAGGCTTCCTTCATGGGATACCTTTCAACGCTGAGAATCTACTAGCACTGAAAGAAGGCATGAAAGAATGGGCACAAAAAAAAACAAAAACAAGACACACACACACACACACACACACACACACACCAAAAAAAAAAAAACAAAAACACCCTCACCGTTTCACTGCAAGGTTCTTACAGTGTTTTCAATGAAGTGAGCGAGGAAATGCTATTAGGGATAGACCCATCAAGAGTTGTACTTGTCAAATCTCTATGTGAGGTGGGGTGGGTGGGTGGGTTGAAAGAAGGGAAGAGTTACGAGTGTGGGTTGAAAGGAAACTGGATGGAGACGGGCTGTAACGCGTGTGGGGCCTACATGTAAATGTTGAGTGCCTCCGCTATGCCTCAATTTACCCCTCGTTTTGACCCAGTAGCAAGGCGTTATACTGGTATTAGAGCCTAGGGTTTCAATTCTTGGCTGGTCACATTTTCCCACTAGTAGCGAGAACTTGAACGTGGTAACCCAGCTGAAGGTTCTCCAATGGCCTGCTCACCAGTGAAGTTGACGTAGTGCCCAGCGAAGCTGAGGACCTTGCGAGGGCCGACTCCCTGAAGTTTTGAACCAACGAGGATGTTGGCACCAAATGGGGACGAGTGTAATGCCTGTGAGGCTTACACGTGAGGGTTGAGTGCCTCCACTCCGCCCCAGATGCATACCTCGTTTTGACCCAGTGAGTATATACCGACTGACACTACAACGGGGAATATTTGGCACAAATTCTGCTGCAGGCAGCCGGCATCAATCAAAAGCAAGTATGCAGACACAAGCAGATTGTGAGGTCCAAAGTAATTGCACGCTTACATCGAGGTAATCATGCCTGAAGAGTCACAGGTGACTCCTTCAATCGTGCCACAGGTTGCACCCCTGGCCCAGCCAAGGAGCGTCTTTCCCCATGCCTTCTGGCAGTCCTCAAGAAACGCCGCTGGCAGTTGGGGGCAGGAGGGGAGAGAGAGAGACAGAGGCACAGAAGAGTCCTAGGGTGAGGAAACAGTCAGCACCCACAACCCAGATTTGGACCGTCTTCACCACCCTCTCCCAGCCTGGAAGCGTCTTTCCCCATGCCTTCTGGCAGTCCTCGAGAAACGCCGCTGGTGGTCGGGAACAGGAGAGGAGAGGAGAACGAGAGAGAACGAGGCACAAGGTTATGGATGTACTTGCAACCTGAGCTACGTCAGGGGCAGTCAGCTTGCAAGGAAACGCTGCTGCTACCCGTGCCTGCTGTGGTTACCGAGGAACGCTCAAAAACTCGCTCACAAAATGTGTGAAACTCACTTTGCTCAATCCATTTGAACATGTTTAGCATAGTGGTTGATGTGCCGCATGTTAAACCAGAGGTAAGGGCATTGGCAATTGACTCTCACTAGAGCCTTTATTGCTTCAAAGAGGTCTTTTTTCCTGTTGTTGTTTTCCTGTCTTTTTTGTGCTCGTTATAATGCACCCAGCGAGCATCCGCGAAAGTCAGATTCGGAAGGAAAAAAGAGACAGAACCGCCAACAACAGGTATCGAACCTGCATCCCCAAATCTCTATACAAGCATAGTCACATCCGGGGCAGTTTTGTGTCAGTTGTGGTTCAGGTCACTTTGGAATTAGAAAACTTACTGACCTATAACTTCTGAACCTCAAGTCTTTGGTGTTATTGATAAAGTTAGAGCGGGGTACACCTGACGCATTATCAAGGATCACTTAGCTGAGATCACCGTACCCCAATCGTAGGATCATTGGTAGCAAAACAACAAATTTTGTGGGCACATAACGACCCTCGTTGATGTACCACTCCAATTTTGCATTGGTGATCCTCTGCGACCGGGCGACATCGCAACGAGTCACGAACGTTGATACTTCGCGTGCATATGCTGGCCGTGTAATATACTGAGACGAAACAACCTCATTGGTGAGATTTTCATTTTCGAAATGTTTTGATTTGATGCGACTTCCTTTCAGATGTGCGACCTGATTGCGAAAGGAATGTTTTTAGTCAACAAGGATCACCCTGTCTTTGGTACAGAGTTGCAAAGATCACCAAGAGATTGGCAGTCACGATGATCCTACGGACATCACAAAGATTGTGTAGCATTGACTACGCATGTTTCCGATCCCACCTCTGTTGGTACACCACCTGACACAGTGATCACTGTACTGTAGTAGGTGGGACACTGTTTTGCAAGGATCGCCGACGTGATCCTCAAAATGCAGCGATCTTTGCTTGGGTGTACCACGCTCTTAGTTTTGGGCCACAATGGGGTCAGGGTACGGGCCAGGTTTAGGTCAGCAACATTTTGGTGATGTGGGGAACAAAATTTGAGCATTACACCTGTTCTCCAATATCTTCACGGGGTGACATTCCCGGGTCGCGAAAACGATTGCCTGAGAGGGCATGAAAATAGACGGAGCAATAAAGTCCCGCTTAATTTCACACTCGAGCCGCAAAGTCTGCTGCTGACATGGACAAAAAGTGCACGACGATCTCAGGAAGTTTTTCCAGCCATTGCGAAATGGCAGCTCGTCTCCCAACAAAGTTGGGCTGAGGACCCCGAAGTGACACCGAAGCGCGGTGTGAAATTAAGGATAGTGAAAATATCGAAGAACAGGTGTACTATAAGCATTGCCGAGGTATGGGTGGGATTGTTTAGGGTTAGGTTGCAGATACATCGCAAGCACTGTTTAGGACGCATCACGTGAAGTGGCTCGGCCGAGAACTGCCGAACCGCACCAACGGGTTTGGTAAGGCAGGATCTGGGTTTGTGGTACACCCAATCTGCGACAACAGCTCTGTGGTCGCGCACAGAATCTCACAGGCAAACCCCCTGTACGCTAAGTTGCTCAGCAACTATGCGACGACAAGGGAAGACGATCGATCGTGACTGTCACTCGTGGCGCGATATTCAACACCGCGCCATCCAATTTCAAGATCGATACTTCACTTCGCTGTATCGATCGGGACCCGCGTAGGTGAAAGGATCGCGGGCACATTTTTACTGTACATTCAAGAACATTGGCGAAAAGCAGTTACCTTGTTGATTGCGACGCTGCAGTGCTACACCCAGCGCGCAAAACCGATTTTCCAGCAAATCGATCCGCTTCAGGGGATGAGTCCTTAGGGTTTCATCGTCGATTTTTCAGGGATTCCTCGGCGAACCACATACAAGGGTCGCTGGATTGGGGACAGTGGAAGTGACTCTACAGCATCACTTCGTCCCAAAATAAGGTATGATGGAAACCAAACCTAAGAACAGACGTATTAGATGGCATCGCATGAACACGTGGCGCTCGTGCCGTCACGTAACTGAAAAGAGGATCAGCACTACTTGTAGTAGTCAGTTGCATTGTGGCAGTGCAACCGGCTGATTGTTATTACGTGCTCGACAGGAACGAGGTACGAGAGATGTCGAGAAGCGACACTGATCGCTATTAGCATTGTGCGAAGGAGAGAGGGAGGCACCTTGAGTAGCGTTAATCACGGGCGGTTGCGCATGGCAAGAGACGAATGCAGAAAGCCAAATCGTGGCGGAGAGTGCAAGCCATGATGCTCGCGGCTGCATCGTAATTGGCTTAGGCGGCGGCATTGAGGTGTCGGCGCGGTCTGGAATTAATCCCGCGGTAACGTGACACGCATCTAGCAAGGGAAGTGGAGGGAAACGAGACTCAACTTGTATGCCACTGTGAGATAGTCTACGCAGCGGCGGCCTGGACAAGGGCCGACGGAAGCAGGGCTGACATGTGCTTGTGCCTCTGCTCCAAGGACGAGCTTAGGCCTGAGAGCAGCTGTGTCAGACGGACTTTGTTCGGAGAGGGGTGGTGCACGCACGGATCCTCACGAGATTCCCTCGATCATCGTCCGAACCGAACCTCAAACTCCAGGCCGAGCGTGCTTTGTAGAACTTCTCTGAACGGGCGAACCCATTTGTGCTTCCTGTGTGCGGTTCTAGTAACGAGACCCGGGCTGCAGACTCCGAAACAGAGTTTTGCTTCGGAAGCCGTTCCAGCGTCGTTCTACCGTTCCAGGGGGCTCCTGAAGTGTGAGTGGCACGTCACGTGCAGCTTTTTTTGGGCGAATCTTCCATATTCAAACTGGGTGTATCGTCTTGATGATGTCATGCTTACTAACAGACGCGAGGTGAGATCCCTTTTGTACGCTAACTTTTGAGAAGAAAAAAAATGCCTCTCCGAAATTCTTTTGGGATTCCTTCGCGGCGTAGAAACTACTTGAAGAAGCGCCAGCCAGCCGGCTGAGCTATATCCGCCCCCGCATTCCTTCTTGGCATGGCAGCTCCACTGGGGGGATTTGTTTTGCTCCTCCTCACACATCCTTTGCAGGTCTGACAAAGCGCGTTTCACGGCCTGTGTGTCAGTAAGCAAACCACGCAGGCTCGGAATAAGGCTATGGGCGGTGGAGGACAATTATCGCCATCGCCAGGAACAAGTCACCTGCTTGTGAGCGAACTGAGTGGCTGCCCTCATCTGATTCGTCGCAACAAAATCTGGAAATCTCGTTATTGTTGACACCCTGTAACGAAACTCTAATCATTTATCAATAAAAATTCAAACTATTGTAGAAATGACTCAAATTATCTTGATCTCAAATACGAAGTGAAGATATTTTCGGTTTAATGGTTTCAATGAAATTTCTTAGTTCCCGTTTGTCACTAGGTGATACACACTGGAATGCGATTCGAGAATGAGCTAAATCGTCCCCATCCAACCAGCGCGTCAAAATTTGCTAACCAAACCGTTTCAGGTCGAATCACATCACACAAAGGTTTGATTCATAGCTAATGTCTATCTGGAATGTGCCTGGTGTCGTAATTGACCTGATTTCATTAGCAACACCTCTGCATTTGGTTCAACACATTCGCCCTGGAATGGCACTTGGTACAGCACTCAAGCTCCGTAATCTGCCATGATATTGCACTTCTGCCCTGATACGGCTCTCAAGCTCCATAATCTGCCCTGATATAGCACCAAGCTCTGTATTCTGCCCTAATAAGGCTCTCAAGTTCCGTAACCTGCCCAAACATGGCACTCAAGCTCCTGTAGCTGTAGCTCGCATGAGGGCAAAAAACTTCTCCACTGCATGAAGCAACATAAGCATCGAAAGGGCATGGGAAGAAATGTAGGTTCCCAATTCTGATCCCCACGCCTGTCCCTAAACCCTGTAGTTTTACATACGACGACGCTTCTTAGCTACCCCAAGACTGCAAAGATAGCAGCCATGTCAGTCGGACTGATGGAAAGACTGAAGTAACTTATAATAACTTCGGAAATGGGATGTTTTTTAACGAGTATGGCAATGGATCCACCTTGTAGAGAGTCAATGCAAGACTGCAAGGATGGCCACCATGTCATTCGGGCTGTTGGAGAGAAGTGGGGCTTATGATAGTGCACACATATATACTCGGTACAATGCAGATGCGTTTTGCTACACTAACGAGCCCATCTTGTGGAGAGTCGACGCAAGGCCCATCTTCCAAGGCTGAGAGGATGGCAGTCGTGTCACTCGGACGGTTGGAAAGAGTGGTGAACTTGTGAAAGAACAGAAATAAGGTCTGTACAACGTGCTTGTTTTTTTAAGACCAAAAATAGTACAGCCAACGCACCTTGTGAAGAGTCGATGCAAGGCTCATCTTCTAAGACTGCAAGGATAGCCGCAATGTCACTCGAGCTGTTAATATGGGCGAGCATGGCATGGGATGAGTGGGATGGCGTGGATATCCATTGATGGGCCATGGCATGGCATGAGAGGACAGGGAAGAGGAGAGATCACCAGAGGCCACTGACTGGCCAGAGGGTGGTTTGGATCGGGGTGAGAAAAAGGTAGAGTGATAGGTGGGTTGGTGAGGTGACTTTTGAGTCGACTCAAGAGTGATAGGTGGTTTGGAGAGTGGTGGACGGAGTGGGAAGTCGGAAAAAAATAGGAGGGGCA